GGAGAGACTAGCCGTTTTACAATTAATATTGCTACCAGCTGTTGCACGGGAGGGGTTTTGAAGACAATATATAAGGATTCTTTAAAACAACACTTCAGCTCTGGTCACACTGATCAACATAATTGGTCTGCTCTGGCCTCCAGCCAGGAGGCCTGAAGACACACTATCCACAACACTACAGATGTTTTTGAGAAGGCACGCAGGATGGCCTTGACAGTCTGCCCCTGCAACGAGCTGAGCAAACAAGGCAGCAACATCGACAACTCCTGATTTAAATCCTGGAAAACACAGAAAAGCTCAAAACGACTCTCACTACTGCCATAGCAGATGCAAATGCAATTATTTGATGGTCTAAGGACCTCACCCTGGCACAAGCCTGCATTATCTCTAGCTAGTTATGTAACTAGCAACTTCTGTATCTGTCACAAAACTTGTTTCTCTACAGCATCTTGCAGCTTTTCCACGAATTGTAAGAATGGTTCCCGGGCACCTGGATGCATAGTGGTGTATTTTGTTTCGGGCTCTGCCAACCTTGCAGTCTGCACTAATGTTTGCTGGCTTATGATTTTTACTTGCTCTAAAACTAGTGGTCTCCTGCGCAGCTTACACAGCTAAGGAACAACAGCAGTGGAAAAACTCCACCTGAGACTTAACTTGCATAAATTTCATACAAGGCTGTAATAGAATATTAAATTTTTGTAAGAACTTCTTATTTAACTTCAGTTCAGATCATACAGCTAGCCGGACAGGGCTAGTCTAGAAATAACTAAAACCTCATCACTCACGGTGGGAATTTGAAGAATTCATATACCATTCAGAATAAGGATTCACTATGGTTCAACAGAATCATGTTACACATCTCTAAAATCTTAACACCGGCAGAAGGTATTTTTAAGTTTACACAGTCACACATTCATGTAGCTTTTCTCTTTCACACCACATTCAGGTGGCCACCTCAAACATGCTCCTCAATCACACACATTTTCAAGTAGTCATTGGCTGTGCACTTCTTATCAGTTTCATAATTCAAAGGAAATTTATGGCATAGCCGTCATCAGCAATCTGCAAATCCTGCATAACTCTCTATGTAAAAGACAGATACAGCAAGAAAGAACAGAATATTATCTTGGAAATCTTCAACCCTTCTCATAGAGCAATGATATTCTGTCATAAAGGCAATAAAACTACTTTTGCAGGGGGCAAGACTATGTCCCCTTCTGTCTCATCGTTCCGTCTCCAAATCTTCTACCTGCACCCTGCCCCTGGGGGAAACAGCCAAATTTCATGTAAGAGATGCGAAATAGCAAGCTATAGGAAATTCTTAATAACCTTCTGTAATATGCAAAAGGCTAAGCACGGATGTTGCATTATTTCTAATCTTGCTTCAAAGGATTTTTCGTCAGTCTCCCTTTCTGTTTTTGAAGAAAACATTTGAGAATGCCATGAGCACGCTGCATGCGTAACACCTATTGCTGTAAAAACAATGCAATCTTATCTGATTTATAAGTTGGGATATTGTTAATTTTAAGTTGTTTTTTCTCTTTTCCCTTTTTTCTGTGTTTTACCGTCTTTGCCTCCCCCACGCCCCTCATTGCCGAAGGACGAAGGAGGGGGAGGAGGGACCGGGCTCACCCAAAGAAAATCAGCAGAAGGAACTTAACTTAATCACAGAGTCTGCTTAAGAAAAGACAAAAACATAGGAGAGGGAGAGAACAGCTGCAAACAGTTTCAGAGAGGGGGTGATTGGTCTAACGGGGAAAAGGAGAAACAGCTTTCCCCCTCCTCCAGCTGCACCCCTCAAGGCTTTTGCTACCATCATTAACTCGCCGCTCTAGGAAGAGGAGCGGCACCAGGGAAAAAGCACTCGCTGCAAAGAAGGGAAGGGGAACGCACACCCCCCAGGACCATGGCTGTCAGCAGTGCGGGGGACACAGAGCCCCCCCGTTGCTCGCCGCACCTGGAGCCGCCGGTGTGCACGCACGGGGGCGCACCGCTCCGCACAGGCGCCGCGACCACCACCACTGCTCCGCTGCCCGGCGCCGCCCCGTAGACACCCGCCACAGGCGGACAGACCCGGCGCCAGCACGGGTTCACTCGGCACGGCGGCATAAGCACACAGCGCCGTGAACACAGCCACAAACGCGCAGCGCAGTCCCGCAGTACAGTTCAGATGAAAAGCTGGAAATGTCTTAAGGTGGAACTCAGTCATAGTGCTCGTAAAGTTCATCTCTGGTCCATCAGCAGTACTTTCACACTGCAGCCGTCATCTCCGATCGTCCTGGATATGCACTGCCGAGATGCTAGCACCGCGTTCATGTTGGCGGGGCCGCTCGGTTGTCCCCGGCTCCGATCCGTGATTTCTTGTCCCACTCCGTCTCCCTTCAACTCCGCTCGACTCCCTTTTTACACGATTTCTCTGTATGATGGTATCTAGTAGCATTCTAATGTCCTCATACTGTGCTCTAATGCCTTTTACTATTCCAGATAACAATCACCAAGTTGTAAGGAGGGAAGCAGCAACTTTTTCTCCCTTAGAGGCAGCAGTAAAGAGCTTATCACTAAGTTCTTTCCAAGTAGAGATAGTAAAGGCAGTTACAGTGTTCGCTTCATATCCCTGGCCCTTACATGAAAGCAGCATCTGCCGCAAAGCCAGTTCGTCTAATTTTTCTTCCTTTTTTAAGCAGGATAGACTTCCATATAGATGCAACATTAGATCCCTTTTGTTCTCGGTGGCTCACCTGTCCAGGCGTCTTGTCTGGTTGGCCTGGCAGTTTCTCCACTTCTGTCATGTTACATTGAGCTCCGTCTCCGCGTCAACCTCCCACAACTTAACCTCATAACGTCTCCATTCTCTTTCATCAAAAACTGTATTAGGGTCCACAAAACAACTTTTAGCAACCCTCGTCGTAAGCAATCTTGGTAATTCTTTTTTCAAAGCTATACCCTTAAGTCCCCGCTTTTCTAAAAAGCACTGGAGTAATAAAAGCACCGCTTGTCTTTCCATACCTATAAATCTTCAGCGCGCTGTTGCAGCCTTTTACAAGACGTCGGCGGTGTTGTCGGCCAGGACCCTTCTGTAAGGTCGCCTGGGGCGCGGAGTCCAGCTCTTTCGCCTCTTGTGCTGCTTCAGGACCGACCGGCTACTGCGTCAGACCGTGGCTTCGGGGGATGCAGATTTAACTTACCCCCTGTTCAGGTTTCGGGGACCGCAGATTCAACTTAGTCCCTTGGGGCATACTGATTTAACTTAGCCCCTGGGGGATGCAGATTTAACTTACCCCCTGTTCAGGTTTCGGGGACCGCAGATTCAACTTAATCCCTTGGGGCATACAGATTTAACTTAGCCCCTGGGGGATGCAGATTTAACTTACCCCCTGTTCAAGCGTCGGGGACCGCAGATTCAACTTAGTCCCTGTTCGGGCGCCATTTGTCGTGACGAGGGAAGAATGAGACGCTCAATATGAGAATCAGCAAGCTTCGTTTATTGATCATTGCTAACAGCTTAATATATGCTTTATAATTAGTTCATACATATTGCAAAAGCTAAGCTCATTATTGGTTCTGCTTAAGTGTTGATCTCACCTCTTACTCATTTCTTTGTTGACACAGGTGGTACTCAGTTGCTTTTTGTTTTGCTAATCACAATGTCCTGTTTACCAGCCAGCTAACAGGGTACAAGGGCACTGTAACCTCGCTATCTAAGATGTTCCCACGGCCTAGGCAAGCCGTGTTCTATAGCCAATTCCCTACAGCCACTCTGGGGCCCTTCCTTCCTCTACATAGATGGGAAATGCTTTTAGGAATTCAGTGTCTTTAGCGCTAGCAGCCTCCTCCCTGAAGGCTCTCCAGATATCTGGTAGCTTAAGCTGCCATTCAGGGGAGTGCTGCATTAAGTCTATGTCCGGTTCAGGGTGGCGGCAGGCGGGGTAGGCCTCGGTGGTGTGAGGCCTATGGGCGCAGCCATCTTGCCGGAAGGAGGCCCTGACCTTCGCCTTGACCCTGTCCTTTGCCACCCTTCCGCCCCTTGAAGGTGATGTATCCGGGGAAGAGGCGGGGCTGGAGGAAGTGGGTGTGCTCGTGGGCATGCCGGGGGAGGGATCTCTGATGCAATCAGGTGGAGGCGGAGGCGGCCTGGAGGGTGGTGCTAAGGGAGCCCGCCTCCTCCTTTCCTGCGCTGATTTTTCCCGTGGTGTCCCTTCCCGCCTTTTCTCCGCGTGGTCCCTGGGTCCCTCCTCCTCGACGCCATTTTGAATTCGGCGCGATGGTTTCTTCCCCCTCCCGCCATCTTGTGTGTCTGTCTGCTCAGTGTCCGTCTCTGTCTGCTCAGTGTCCCTCTCTGTCCGCTCAGTGTCTGTCTTGGGGAGGCTGATATTCTTGTTCATCATCTGGTGCTGTAGCACCATCAGAACTAACCTCCATGCGATGAGCGCCTCTTTAGCTATACGGTCCCCCTTATCGCTGTCCCGCCAGAGGCTGTAGCCTATGGCTTGCCACTGCTCTACGCTGGTGTCCTCGGCAAGCTGGTGACCCTTGTGGTCGAGCCATCTGGCGAGTGATTTTGCCAATTTTTTATCTAAGGGGTGACCGTGTTCTATTACAAAGTCTTTTAGGCGCCTGTATACAAATTTTTGGGAGGTTGAGAGTGTGAGTCCCATGTTGATGTTAGTCGGGTCTCAACAACAGTCTCTTGATGGAAAGTCCTCCCTTTGGTGTTCTGCCGGGCTGTGGGTGTTAGGGTAGGGTGAGGAATGTCCTCAGCAGTTCACCTGTCTGGTGCGTCGACCCGTGCAGCTACCGCTGAGCCCACAGCCGTCCGTTCTGCTGAGGAGGACCGGCGGGGACGATCGCCTCTCCTGGCGTCGCCTGAACCCAGGTGAGGACACAGGAGTTCTCTCAATATGAGAGTCCTCAACTGTGCCCCACGTTGGGCGCCACTTGCCATGGTCCGGGGGGATGGGAAATGGGACCGAGCACTGCAATAACGGTTCTTGGCACAGTCGAGGGTTCGTGCAGCAATGCCACTTTATTCAGGGACAACAGGGTTTTAAATAAGGTAAGTCTGAGGGGAGGATTCTGAACTGGGGAGGAGCATGGAACTGACAACTCAGGGAAAAGTGTGATAGGGAGACAGGGAAAAGGCGGGTGGAACTTCGGAGTCTCCAGGAGAAAGGGCCAATGGGAGCTCTCTTTGCACTGCAGCAAACTGTAGCCAATCAGTGGCAGAGGAGCGGGAAAGCAGGGGAGGACAGGGTGACAAACAACTTTGGGCGGGAAAATCTGAGGGAGAAAGGGGAACAATATGGAGGTATAACAAACTTCATAAAAATTCAACAGTAAACTGGGGTACATAAAACTCCATGACAATACAGCAATAAACTGGGGTAAAACTGGGGAACAACTGTCAGTCCGGTGGATGAATTGTCCAGTGTATAAAAGTCCATCTAGTTCCCATAGATGCTTCTCCATGCCACATATCTTTCCCAATTGGTTTTTTCTTCCACCACACCCTGCTACATGCAAACATAACAAACGACAGCATCAGCAGATGTCTTTCCATTCCTCTTTCCCTTCCCATTCTCCGTTCCTCTTCCCTTCCCATTCCCACAGCCAACACACTATTTCACTTCTCACTTTAACAAAGCTCTTTTCTCCTTCAAGCCCCTCAAAGGCGCCAAGGCCACATAGGAGGCCACACACAAACAGTACTCCTCTTCCCACTTGACTACACCTTCTCCCTCACTGTTCTACAGGGAACACCAGGAATCTGCTCGCAGAGGCCTCTCGTTTCCCATCAGTAGCTCAGCACAAGGAGTTAAAGGAGCTCAAGCCTTAGGCCACAAGAGCTGACAGCGAGGAAACTTTGGGAGCAAACTAATGCTGCTAACACGGACCCAGCTGAATCCAGCACACAATCACAGAATCCAAGAGTCCTTCAGCTTGGAAAAGACCTCCAAGCTCACTGAGTCTTGTGCAGCCCCTCCCCGACCGCCTGCAGGGACTGGATGATGCTTTGCACAAGCACCAAAAGGAATGTTGTGAAAGCCATGGCCTGCAGGAGGACACAGAGAAGGGCTTGGTTGGGGCTGGGAAGGAGGGAGCTGGCGCTGGGGGAGCGGGGATGGAGCCTCGGGGATGTGGCGCAGCAAGGACAGGGGCCCAGGCAGCTGGCAGGCGGCAAGGCCTCACCCCCTGCCCCAGCAGCAGCACCGGGCCCTGCCCAAGGCACTCCTGCCAGGGGCTGGGCCCTGCAGGCAGGGGCAGAACCCACTCCCTGGGGCGGCCTTGCTGCCCTGGCCCTCGTCCGGCCCAGCCTCTCCCTGTGTGCGTGCTCCCCACAGCACAGGCTGCACTGGGCAGCATCCCCTGATGGGCCCTGCAGAGCTGCCCCATGCGGACACTTCCATTTTATGTCACAGGTGCCACAGCCTGTCCCAGCCAGCCCTGCCCATTGTCCCCACCCCGGCTCAGTGACTCACAGTGGCCCCTGGCAACCAAAGAACCAAAGCCCCACACCCCCAGAGTGCAGCCCTACCCATGTGCAAGGGGCCCCCAAAGGGTTCCCTGCACAAAGCAGCCCCTCCAAACCCTTGTCAGATAGAAAACTGGGGGACGTGACCCTTGGATGCTTTTAGGACAGAGATACAAGCTTTTCTTGAATAATGGAGGGGCTCACTTTTTAATTATTAATATTTACAGTTATCCATTTGGGGACAGGATGTCCTACAGGCTAATGTGGTGTCACATTTGGAGTGAAAAGTACTTTTCAAAGAAACCCAGGGTGCATGGGTGATGCAGAGGAAGCTGCCAAGTCACCCAATGTGAAGCTCAACACTGCTTTGCAACAGCACTGCCCTTTCACACACATCTTTGGCAAAGACAAAGATGTCAGGCTTTAGTTTCTAAATCAGTAACACTTGACAAGACCTCTTTATGAACTGACAGCAAGAGAACTTAGGAGCAGCTTAGGGTTGGCAAGTGTAGGAGCCAAGAAGAGAAGGGCTGATGGGTATGTCATGAACACTGACAGCTGGATGGTCGTGGAGCTGACCAAGGACTGCCAGATACAAAAGACATCACCTGCTGGACTTGGCCCAAACCCCAGCCCCCTCCTCTCCCTTCTCAACCACTCAACCACAGCCTGCACACACCCACACCTGCCAGGGCCAACTGGCTGTTTCTCTTCTCTTTTCTGCCTGGGGGCGAAGGAAGAAGGACAGGAAGGGCATTTGCCTTCGGGCCAGAGGGAAGGGGAAGGAGATCCCCCCAAATCCATCCCTGGCAGGATGGGGGCTGGAGGAGACATTGGGGGACCCCCAAGAATATTTTCGAGGGGAAGAAAGGATGGGGGCACCCACAGGGGGTTGGGGGGGAGGGACCCAGGAATCTCGTGGTGGGACACTGGGGAGTTCCCAGTAGTTTCTTGGGGGGGTGGACCCCCAGCAGTCCGGGGTGGAAAAATGGACGGAGGAATCCGCCGTAAAGGGTGGGTGACACCCAAAAGACTCTAGGAGGGGGTCGGGAAGGACCCCGGAGTCCTGAAGAGTGTTTGGGGGTCCCCAGGAGGGAGTCTGGGGGTCTGAGGTGGTCCCAGGAGATTTTCAAGGGTTAAGGGGATGCACAGGAGATTTGGGGGACGAGGGGGAAAGGCGGAGGGTCCCCAGCATTCTTGGGGGGATCTGGGCAGTTCCCGAGAGTCTTGGGGGAGATTCGGAGGGGTCACCAGGAGCCCCCGGACCCCCTGAACTCACCCCACACCACCATGGCCTCGTTGGGGCCGCACGTGAAAAACAGCGCGGCGGGGGGAGACCCTGGGGCCGGGATCGATCAGGACCAATCGGGTTCAATCCCGATCCTCCCCTCCCCCGCCCCGCTCCTGGCAGCCCCCGCGGAAGTTCCGACGTTCTATTGGGTGACTCACCGGCACAAGGACAGGGGCCCAGCAGAATTTGGCAATGACGTCATTCCAGCAGAGCCGTTCTATTGGCCGCTCATCAGAGGTATCATGCAAGTCAAAAGCCTGAAAAGTCTCCTAGAATGCATAAATCATTAACCATTTCAGTCTCTGACAATTGGTCCACACAGTAACTGCAAACTATGCCCAAAGCCTGTTCCCTAACCTTAGAAGAGAGACTGCAACCCTCGAGATGTTGGAGGCTCGTGGCATGGTCCATGACACTAATCATGGCTATAACTCATAACTTCTTGGAGTATGTGGACTTCCCTCCTTCACCCCCGGCAGATCAAGGCCACCACTTCAACTGACAGACATGGAAGCATCACTGGACTCCGTGGGCGGTGACTATATACATCTGTCCACTCTCAGCTTTTCTTTCTCTTACTCTCCCTTGCTCTTATCCTGCCTTTCTCTCCCCTATGCATTTCCTTTCCCCCCCCCAAAGGTTATCTCTGTGTCACATTGTGGTATGACAGTACCCAAACTGCTAGCATGCCTGTTGATACAGAATTGTTAAAATAAACCTTGCCAGTATATGTTTTCAGACACCGATTACTTAGTGTCGTTTTACTTTAATCCACCCCAAGGGAATTATTAATAAAAACCTGAGTTACCCCCTCTCCCCTTTTCCTGGGGCGGGTTGTAACACCAATCAGCACTGACTCTGCCCAGTAGGCGGAGCCAGTGACGCAGAACAATCAACATGGACTCCACCTCTTGACTCCACCCAGTGGGCGGGGCCAGTGCTCTATAGAAGCAGAGTACATACCGGACCGTGGTGGGTATTCTGCCAGACACGCAACAGAACAGCAACAGCAAAAGCAGAGACCCAAGAGAAAAAGCAAAAGATTCTGACAGCGGTGGGCACTGAATTGGGCTTATAGCCCAAGAGGGGTTTACTGGGCACCACTGCGTTCCTGGAATGGGGTAAACCTGCGATAGTTAGATCGCGCATTGAGACAGATTCTGACTAACCCTAACCCTAACCCCAACCCTAACCCCTATCCCTTACCCTAACCCTAACCTTAACCCTAACCCGAACCCTAACCCTAACCCTAACTCTAACCCTAACCCTAACCCTAAACCCTAACCCCAACCCTAACCCTAACCCTAGTAGCTTGCAGTCTCTTTTTTAAAGTTAGGGTTAGGGAACTGGTTTTGTGCGTTGCTTGCAGTCTCTTTTTTAAGGTTAAGGTTAGGGAACAGGGTTTGCACATAGCTTGCATTCGCTTTTTTAGGATTAGGGTCAGGGAATAGGGTTTGCGCATAGCTTGCAGTCTCTTTTTTAAGGTTAGGGTTAGGTAACAGGGTTTGTGCATAGTTTGCAGTCTCTTTTTGAAGGTTAGGGTTAGGGAAGAGGGTTTGCGCATACCTTGCATTCTCGTTTTTAGGGTTAGGGTTAGGGAAAAGGGTTTGTGCATAGCTTGCATTCTCACTTTTAAGGTTAGGATTAGGGAAAAAGGTTTGCACATAACTTGCAGTCTCTTGGTTAGGGTTAGGGTTAGGGAACAGGGTTTGCGCATAGCTTCCAGTCTCTCTTTTAATGTTGGGGTTAGGGGACAGTGCTCTATAGAAGCAGAGTACATACTGGACGGCGGTGGGCATTCTGCCAGGCACGCAACAGAACAGCAACAGTAAAAGCAGAGACCCAAGAGAAAAAGCAAAAAATTCTGACAGCGGTGGGGAATGAATCGGGCTTATAGCCTGAGAGGGGCTTATTGGGCACCGCTGTGTGTCCAGAATGGGCTAAAACCGCAATGGTTAGATCGCGCACTGAGACAAATTCTTCCTAACCCTAACCCTTAAAAATTCCCCTAACCCTAACCCTAACCCTAACCCTAACAGTAACCCTGTCTTTTGCTAACCCTAAACCTAACCCTAACCCTAACCCTAACACTAAACCCTAAACCAAAAGGAAACTTCCTTTGCTATGCCTACTGGGCGGAGTCAGTGCTGATTGGTGTTACAACCCGCCCCAGGAAAAGGGGAGAGGGGGTAACTCAGGGTTTTATTAATAATTCCCTTGGGGTGGATTAAAGTGAAACGACACTAAATAATCGGTGTCTGAAAACATATACTGGCAAGGTTTATTTTAACAATTCTGTATCAACAGGCATGCTAGCAGTTTGGGAGTTGGGCTATCAGTTGGGAGGCATGGTTGAAAACAGGAAAGAACAGCCCTAATTCCCAGGAAAGAAAGCCTGGAAGCTTTGGTTTTGTGGTGCGGTTGGTGGGCCACACTGGGCACTCCATGGGCAGGCAGCAAGAGTTTTCTGGATCTGGGAGTCAATCTGGGGGCCTCGGAGTGTTTGAGGGGAAGTTGGGAGTGTCCTGTGGGACCAGGATGGGATTTGAGGGCTCCTGGAGAGGCCGGGACGGGTGTATACTGCGGGCATCATCTAGTATTGATGGGGGTAATCAGTGAGCTGACTGTTTCATAATCATCCAAATTTTAACATACAATGTGATTATTAGAATAAAAAGCAAAAAGGTAATATCAACAAAACAGTAACAGGGTGAAGCTCTTGGTTGAAGACTGGTTTCTTCTTTTTCTCCAGTGATTTTAATTCTTTTTTGTCTGGGTTTTAATCCCATCTTTGGCATTTTGCTGCCAACATTTTGTCCCCATATCCATTGGAAATTGTATTAACTGTTGATGAGAACAAAGTGGAATCCCAAGGTATGTGATATATTGATAGGATTTCACTGGTTGGCTTTTAATTTGCCCAGGTTTATCGCCATAATGCTTCTGCTCTTTAACCACTTGAATCAGAATGAATTGAGTTGTTTTCTGGGTCGGGTTCTCTTTTTGAGTCCAAGGTTTTTTAGTGGATTCAGTATCAGGCACAAAGGAAATTGAGGGAGGTAAAGAATAATCTTCCCTTTGTTCATTATCACGGGGATCACTCAGTCTATTTTCATGAATGTGAGGAAAGCTGGGAGACTCTAGAAACATAAGCTGAACTTCAAATTTTCCTTGTTTCTTTCTCTCCTGAGACTTAGAATCAGGGTTCTCTGTGGTTTCCCAAGTCTCAATGCCAGGGTAAGACACTGGTTTATGAAGTTGCCTGACCAAACCAGGAGCCTGTTTTTTTAGCAACAGTTTTCTCTCCGCACTCTGGCGCAACAAGACTTTGAAGGTGGTCAACCTCAGTTTGAAGCAGCTCATTTTTAGCAACAAGTTTATCCAATTTTTCTCCTGTTTCCCTCTCAAAGGCTAATGATGACTTCAACACTACATTTTCTGATTTCAAAACAGGAGATTCAACATCAGAAATCCATTCATGACTTCCCTGTCACCACTCCATCCAAATGTCTGTGCTCTCACTTTGACCTGAGAGAAACCTCAGGCAGGTGGAAAAGGGCAGATAAAGGAAAAACAGATGGGTCCAGCAGAAGTGATGCTGCTTCTGTCAAAAGCAGAGCAGAGGCCGAAAGCACTTTAGGAAGTTGCTTACAGAAGCACTTGTACATTCCAAGTTACAGCTCAGGAGTCTCAGTGACTTGTCCAACATGAGAGTTTCTTTTCCATTTCTCAACCCCCAGATTCCTCAGGAGTAGGAAACTGGAAACACTGACTGAGAAAAGCTCCATTCCTTCCTAATAATTGTGCTTTGCCCTTCCCATTTGACAGTGCTCTTGGAAATGTGCTAGTGTGATCTGGATCTGTGAGCAGCCCTGACCTCCCAGAGCACTCATCCAATGGCAGGAAGACCCCACCTGGCTCCTGCTGGGGTTCTTGCCACCACGACCCAGTATGGGTCAATGGAATGGGGAGCAGGGCGGTGGGACCAGTAAGGACCAGTTAAGGGGGTTGGGGGCACTTCAGCATCTCCATCAAGGTCAGACCAGTACAGAGCAGCATAGACCAGTATAGATCGGTATAGACCAGTATAAACCAGTATGGACCAGTATGGACCAATATGGGTCACTGGAATGGGGAATGGGGCAGTGGGACCGATAAGGACCAGTTAAGGGGCTTGGGGGCACTTCAGCATCTCCATCAAGGTCAGACCATTATAGACCAGTATAGACCAGTGTAGACCAGTATAGACCAGTATAGACCAGTATAGACCAGTAAAAAACCAGTACGGACCAGTATGGACCAGTATGGACCAGTACAGGTCACTAGAACAGCGAGCAGGGTGGTGGGACCAGTAAGGACCAGTTAAGGGAGTTGGGGGCACTTCAGCATCTCCATCAAGGTCAGACCAGTACAGACTGGTACAAACCAGTATGGACCAGTATAGACCAGTATAAACCAGGGTAGAGCAGTATAAACCGATATAAACCAGTACGGGTCACTGAAACAGGGAATGGGGTGGTGGGATCAGTAAGGACCAGTTAAGGGGGTTGGGGGCACTTCGGCATCTCCATCAAGGTCAGACCAGTACAGACCAGTATAAACCAGGGTAGAGCAGTATAAACCAGTATAAACCAGTACGGGTCCCTGGAACGGGGAATGGGGTGGTGGGACCAGTAAGAACCAGTTAAGGGGGTTGGGGGCACTTCAGCATCTCCATCAAGGTCAGGTCAGTACAAACCAGTATAGACCCGTATAGACCAGTATGGACCAGTATAAACCGGTATAAACCAGTATGGACCAGTGCAGTTGACTGGAACGGGGAATGGGGCGGTGGGACCAGTAAGGACCAGTTACGGGGGTTGGGGGTACTTCAGCATCTCCATCAACGTCAGACCAGTACAGACCAGCATAGACCAGTATAGATTAGTATAAACCAGTATGGACCAGTATAGACCAATATAAACCAGTACGGGTCACTGGAACACGGAATGGGGTGGTGGGACCAGTAAGGACCAGTTAAGGGTGTTGGGAGCACTTCAGCATCTCCATCAAGGTAAGGTCAGTATAAACCAGTATAGACCCGTATAGACCAGTATGGACCAGTATAAACCAGTATAACCCAGTATGGACCAGTACAGGTGACTGGAACGGGGAATGGGGCGGTGGGACCAGTAAGGACCAGTTAAGGGGGTTGGG